CTCTAACGCGCCCGCTGCTGGTGATACCAACAGGGTCATTCATAATGTAGTGCCTACGGATGCTATTGCGGTGATACCGGAGGACTTAGTGGATGAAAGAGACTTCGAAGGGCTTGATGAGAATCGCGTGCCGCAGCTTGAGCGGCGTCAGCTTGAGCCGACTGCTCGAGGCGGTCCTCGCAGCTGGGTCTGTCGCCACGGCTGGCCGATTTGGCACACGAAACTCAAGAAAACCTACTGGCTTTGCCGTTATTGTCACCAGCACCGCATGCCTGGCGCCGCATGCCTGGCGCCGCATACGACGTTCAAAGCTCGACCTCAAGCACCGCCACCCATCTCCAGAAGCCTGTAAAAGGTCACTCCTGGAGCGCCGGGGATCTCATAGATCTTGGCGGAGTGGAGCTCTCTCCCTCCATGGCGCACACTGGTCGTTTGCGATCCGCGACTGCAGTATTAACGTGATTTGCAGAGCTAGGTGCATGCGTCCGGTCCTTCCTTTCTAAGTTATGCTGTTTGTTCCTCGAAACTTATCTATTACTCACGAAATAACAATCTTCGCCCCATCCCCAATCGCCCGCCAAAACTCCATCGCGCTCTCCGCCCCCATTATCGTACCCAGCCACTCCCCGTCCATCCACCCCTGTACAAAACACGTCCCAACAAGTTGATGTGTTCCATCTTCCCTTTCTCTTAGCATTAACGGCACAGAACACCCTGCCACAACAGCAATAGACCACGAAGCACTCTCTTCTGCGAGATAAGCTGGTGCTAGACCCATGTACCCGTTCTCCGTGACGAAGGGTCTGCGTCCACGAAGTACTACATCGACAATAGTCCAAGCTTCTGTACGACTCCATGAATCGGCATATCTAGTGACATGGTGGGATAGTTGTGGTAGACACGCGTAATGCTCGTTGGATCTGCAGATTCCCGGAGCATATCCACTCTCCTTTACTGGTGGCCATGCGGCGATGCCGTCGCCGTGGAACATACCCCAAATCGCTCTGCCTCCATCGTCGTATGTAGCTAGTCCGTGAGTCTGGTAGTGCGTTCTTATTGCGTCTCCCCAGTAATATGCTTGCCAGCGTGATTTGGGCACGGTACCGGCGGGAATGTTGGGAGCATCTTCGAAGATGTGCGATATCTGGTCGATGATGAGACCGGTGACGTGCAGTTCTTTGCCTTCGAAAGTGACGAGAGGGGCGTCGAAAAGGTCTTGAGTCATGCCGCCGTCTGCTGAGTAAAGTTTGCCGCTCAAGTCGTGCATGGCGGACATGGGGCGGTCTGGAAGGTAATCTTTCCGGACGAGGCAGCTTGCTGTAGCTGGGATATTCCAATTCGGACACCAAGACGGTGCGACGGTATAGAAGTCGCAGGATTGCTGCGTCGCTTCTACTGCACCAAGTATGTCTAGTGCCCCATGCTGCAAGATCCAAGCTTTTGCGAATCCCGTGTATACCTCTTCGTATGACTCGGTGTACCCGGGTGCATAGTCCAGACCTTCTTTGTCTTGCGCGAGATTCCACAAAGCGAAGATGCGGTCTCTGGGATCAGTGCACTCGAAGTCTCTTGCTAGTACTAGCGCTTCCAAAAACCCAGGAGAGGTATTCTTGATCTTGAAGACTGGGAACCCAAGAATTCCCCCTCCTCCATGGCCTCTACTCACTAGGTATCGGAAGTAAAATAATTTACGTGGGTATACCAGCATGTCCATTTTGATGTGCTCAAGAGACGGGTCTGCGGTCAGCATGTGGGCAGCCAGGGATGGATCGCGTGTCAGCATGTCATGCAGGTTGTAGGCTGCTTTGTCCAGGATGTCCCATGTAACACCCAACTTGCGGGCTGCCAAAATCGCAGGACTTGTCGCCCAAGCCACTTCCTAGTCTACGTATTAGTACTGCTATGGGCTTGGGTCTTTAAACAACCCACCTGCAAAATCCACGATCTCCTGAAGTATTGTCTCGTCAAAAACTTGCACAAGGCTACACATAGCGTCGCTAAGCGCTTCGGTTGGATCGTGTTGTTGTTTTCGTCTGTGGCTTCCCAATCACCAAGTATGAACTCTCCTTGGTCATCGAAGCGCACCATTGGATGTTTGCTTAACTCGTCCATGAATTTAACAACGTCCTCAGTATCATCTTCAGATGGCCCGACATAGGAGTAGACAGCGTATGCGTTGTCATAAATTTGGCCCATCCGACGAACTTGCCTACCGCGCTCAGCTAGGTCGTCTTGGTTGATAGATATGGCATCGATCCACAATGGCACGATCTTATCAGCTGTTCGAATGGTACGAATAGCTTCTGCGAGGTTTTGCCGAATGTTCTTGCGTTGTCCGTTCAAGACAACTTCTTCCGGTGTCGCGTCTGTTCCCCATCGATCTTTCATTGGGTAGCAGGTCAGTGGATGATTTCAAGTACGAGCGAAATGGCAAGACTTACATGACAAGGCTATGAAAGTGACGTTGCACTTGATGGGGCAGTGAGCCACGTGCATGACGATTGGTGCAGCTACATGGGTGGCAGGCATGATGCATATGATACGAATCTCGTCTGCGAACATGTCGAGGGGCATGTACCGATAATTCATCGTAGGAGCCTCAATATCTGCTTTTGTGCCAAGGCGTATTGGACAGACCCGTGGCAAAACCATCTCATTGGAGCTTTGGTACCATTCCTTGGTCCAGGCACCATGTCCGGCTTTCTCAAAGTACCCGTTCTCGACCAGACGATTGTTTACTGCGTGCATATCAATGTCCTCTGAAGCCATGGCATACATCTTGTCGCTGAACTCTCGCGTCCAGTAGGTTTTTTGCTCTTTCGCATCGAATTCTAGCACACATATATAGCGGACCCACACCAAAGTCGGCTTGTCGATCTTGGTTCGAAGATAGCGCAAGAAGCGTTCTAGTGCGAGCGAAACAGGCAGTGCGCTGCCATCGATTTCGATTAATTCTAGATATTCGCGATATCCTCTCGCATTTTGGATGGCAATGAAAGAAGGTGGGTCCTCTAAGGAATGAGTCTCCAAGTTGCAACGAACATGGTCGGCTATGTTCTCCGCAGGATGCAGTCTCAACAAGCGTACTTCTTCAGGCTGCTCGAGCCTCAACGGTGTATGCGTGTAAATTGGAACGCTCAACGTGGTTTTCTCATAGTCGATGTACAAGCCATTGTTGAAATATCGTACGGCTTCTTCTATTCCGCAGGTTTCCAATGGCCCAATCAAAGTTATCGGAGATTCGACTGGTGTCCTCATGCTGGGCGTGGAAGGTTATTCGAGCTGTGTGGTGTCCGTCACGTCTTAAGCGGCTCCGTAGCCGAGCTGTCCCGCATAATATATCAGCATCTCGAGATATGGTGGATGATATTAGGCTGTGCAGTCGAGTTGCGGTACGGGTGGCTGCCTGGTTGGCGGGGTTTTGGCGGGGTTTTGGCGGGGACGGTAGGCGAGGGCGCAGCGGGTGGCCTAAAGTGACGATCGTTCGACGTGCTACTTCCATAACAGTAGTCATAGTGGTCATGTACACAGGTATACTGTGCAAAAATCCAAAAGATGCTCAAGGATCTGTGGCATAGGGAGATACGATCAATCAGGAAGACCACTATATGCGCTGAAGCCATCTCCATATGTACCCAGGCACGAACGTCGAACACTCTCCTCGAATGGCACCCAACCATTTGCCCCAAGCTTTTGCAATAGCTCAATGGATCTCTGGTTATCGACTATGGTACTCGGTTCTTTTTTCCCAGGTTCGTCGTGTGGAAACATACGGTCCGGTGCCAAATTTCGGAACACATGGAGGAAGCTGTTGTAATTGGAAGGAAAGGCGAAACCGAACAGTCGCTCGCCATTGACCTCATCGAATATGAGCGCTGCAAGATGCAATTTCGCAACATCTTCGACATCGACTTGCCACTGGGGACTATCATCCCGCAGCTTTGCTACATATTCCTCTTCGGAGGGATGATCAAAGACGTCACGCACCCAACGCGCGGTACTTCCTGCACCTTCAACACTGAGGGGCTGTAATATGATGCCAGACGTGTAGTTCGGAAGCACAGTGTTGAAGACGAAGCTCGGTTGCTGCTCTCGCACGAAGGCCCAGGCTGCACGCTCGCACGCGACTTTCGAGGCCGCATACACAGCGTAAGCACGCTCAGGATGGTATGGCGGTGGCGCCCAAGCTTCCTCTAAGACGTCGTCGTTCCAGGAACTTGAGTTGACATGTCTTGCCTCGTCCACCAAAGGTTTAGTTGCTGCATTACTGCTCGAGGTGTACACAAACCTCTTAATGGTTGGTGTCGAATGAGCTTCCTCCAGTATCGCCTTGATGCCATTGACGCATCCTGTAATGACAACATTAGGGTCAGGACTGAAGCTCAGATCAGACGCGATGTGGGCGACTCCTTCACAGTCGGCGAGAAGTTCTTTGAAGGCTCCTGGCAATTTCATGTCTGCGACTATGACGGTTTCGAAGGAATCTCCCGCCGTATCGTGACGCGTTCGGTAGATGGAATGCATCAATTCTGCCTCATCCTCATTCCGCACAGCACCTCGGATGCGGTACCCGGCCCGAAGCAGATGATCTGCTACATGGGAGCCGATGAGGCCACTGATGCCAGTGACAAAAACTCGACTTCCTTTGGTGATGACTGTCATGGCGCGAATAATTTTTGGCAAGGCAAATAGAAGAAACAATAAAGTTGTCCCTAAGGAATCCCCGCCTCAGCCGTTCTAACGGGTGCCGCTTCTTCCGAGAAGTGGGTGTTGTCCGCGTCTAAACTTTCCGAGTTGCGACGGTATTTTCAAGCTTCCCCGCATCCCCACTCTACGAAGGAGCTCGTTTTTAGTGAGCGATCAGTGCGGGGCCCGTGCCCCAACTTCACAAATTTGGCTGTACGCCCATACAAAAAAGTGAAGTAACTACACAATGCAGCCATTTTACGAGCTTAAAAAGATGAGGCAATTTTTTTGTATATAGACAGGTATATAGGTAGATTTTGGGGGGTTGCGATCACCCGTGGAAGTTGTTATTGCCCTCTTCTGCGATGATCCTACGCACCACCTTAGGAATGCCCATCACCCACCTGTTGATGAGCTCGATAGGTAGAGCCTCCCATTCTGCCTCTCATTGCTCCTTACACTGCGTAGGATTACATGAGGGAGTGAATTGCTTCGTCACGTGGGTCCTTATCCATGGCCAGGCATGCTCAGATGCATTCACATCAGGACTGTGGCCAGGCCAGGATATCTTTTTAATCCGCTCAACGCGTAGGTAGTCGTTGGCAATTCGAGATTTATGAGATGGAGCTCCATCTTCAAGTAATACACAAGGGATACCTCGAGTTTTAAGTGAAGTGATCTATGGGGCGACCTTCTTGAGAGCTCCTTCACGATGCCTGTATCCATCTACCCCACCTCTTGACTTGATGCCGCGATGATAGTTATGTTTCTTGACGTGCTGAAGCTTCTGGGTATAGTTGCGGAGGTTGATATCTAGTTCTCCAAGCTCTCGTAGTGCTGCGCGTGCTCTTGTTTGCATGTGGTTGGAGAATGCTCGAGTGAACGCATTCTCCTTCTCGAGTAGCTCCTCCGCCACCTGTTTCTCCTGCTGAGTCTCATGAAAGTATACATGACAAGGACCTTTGTAGTCGTATCTAAAAGCTCCAAAGAATTGTAGGCAGCAGTCTCGTCGGTTGCGGTCGTGGCGGACGTCGTCGTGATAGACTTCATCATCGCGCGCCCAAGTATGCAGCATTCCTCTCTCTGCACCTACTCGAGCTGGAGTCTCGTCAGTGAATACAACACCGCGAAAATCAAAGCCAAGTCCATCTCCAATCTCATACCTATCAGGGTTGTGTTTAAGCGCCCATTGGAGTCGTTGTCGGCGTTGGGTGGATGATAAGGGCAGTTTCCAGCCTGGCTTTCTGCGCTTGTAACCAGCGTCATACATAACATTTTCAAATGTTGAGACGCTCAAATTGGGCGCGATATCGTGAAGCTCACGATGCTTTATTGCCTGCCATGGCTCCTGTTCGCGGTGGTCGCGATCTTGGGTTGTGATGCGGATGATCGCCTCCTTCTGCTCATCGCTCAACATCTCGGGTCTCCCACGCCCAATCTCATTTGTGAACAATATAGGATTCCATATATCAAAGCTTCCGACTTCAGCGCGCTCCTTTATGCGATTCAGGATCTTCGATATAGTGCCTTGTGGTCGGTGGAGGGCGTCGGCGATAGCGCTTTGTTTGGCATTGCCAAACAAAACAGCACCAGCGATGAAAGCACGCGTTTCTGGAGGGATTTCGGTGCGCTGAGTTTTTGAAACTCTCTGGGTAGGTGTACAGTTATATTTGAAAGGTTTTCGGGGATTCAGAACCATGATTATACGTTGTAGTGGTGGAAAATATGAGATTTACTATGGTGTTGTTGATGGTTGGGATGGGTGCCAAGGAATAGTCCTTACTAACTTAGAAACGAGCTCCTTCGTAGGTGCCGAGGTGCGCGTTGCGGCAACATGCGCATTGCGGGCACGGACACGGTAGTGGCTTTCTATGCGAACACGAACCCGACACGTGCCAAGAGAGCGAATACACGCCACGCCCGGCCTTCTTCGCGTTTGCGGATCATATGAGTGCACGCCTGCTTTTGACTATGTCAGAGCTGTCTGCAAGACGGTGTGATTGGTTTGTTGGCCTGGGGAAGACTGGCCGCTTGCAATAGTTCGACGTCTCTCAACATGGCTGCACGGAGGCGGGACACAACACACGATGGTGTGCATGAGACATGTCATTCGGGCACACGGCGACACCACAGCATGCGAGAGCTTTCATGATTGGTCGGTCTCGCGTCCACCGTTCTTTGCGCCTCCAATAATCCATGTCGATCATGCACTGATACCATGAACCATCGTGGACCCCGCCATACATAATCGGTAGATTATCGGCAATCATCGTCATCCAATGCTTCCAATTTTTTAACAACTCCTTCGACAGGGTCGTGCACGCTTCTCGCCTCAGCCACGAGGTTAGGCTTAAGCGTGCATTAGCAGTCTTGGCTTCACCAGATTGTCTGGTACGCGATCGCGGATCCGCTGCAACATCTGGTGGCGCGTCAACCCCGCAAAGAACCACGGGGAACATTGTTGGAACGGCCTTGTGTCCACCTAGGTACTGCGGTTTATTACTGCTAATGTTGAGGTTGCACCTCCAGCAGCCGAGCCGCAATGCACTAAAAGTGAACCAGGAATAGGAAGCGGGTCCGCTATTATCCCTACCAGTCTCTGCGCCTGACAGACGCAAGTCCGTTGACAGCACAGACCGCAAAGCCAGGATCCGTGGCGCCTTTTTTCAGGCTTGACTCTTTCGAAATCTGGCTGCAGTAGCTTACATATTTCTAGTGGCTGCGCAACATCAAGCCTCATGCACCGAAGACATCGAGAAGGTTGCCATACTCCTTTTCTTGCAATGGCTAGATGCGGCTGAAGCACTCATCGTTCAGGTGTACATGCATTGCGGCCACAACCTTATCGTTGAAATCAACTACTACCCATACAGACTATCTATCCATGTTTCAGGTCATCTTAGGAGATATTCGCGCATTGCAATTTGCTTACACTTTGCTTACCATTCACTAGACCCCTAAAACCTCCGCATCGCCGAGCCAACAAGTGAAGATTTCTGCACTCATCCTGGTTCGTGTGACGGCAAGTCCGCTACACCGCAAGAAAGACGTTGTGTTACACAAGGCCCACATCCGACGATTGAAAGAAATCGGATCGCGCCTCATATCTTGGCGAATATGGTTAAGAGTGCGTCTCGTTACGAGGCACCGTCACGGCTGACACCTTAAAATCATACCACGAGCATGGAAACGACGCGATGTGAGCGCACCCCGGCTGAACAGGATCAGTGGGCGCAATACTGAGATATGAGAGTGTTGGTATGCGGACAGTTTGACACATCGAATCACAGGAACATGAAAATGGACGACCGGAACATTTTGTAAGTGGATTTACAATTGGTTCAATGGTTCGGAAGTCATCGCGAGCCGAGCTGCGCAATGCAAAATCCGTAACTTGGATAGTTGCTGCACCCCAAAAACAAACATCAAACGGATTACAACTTAATCCAATTCGTTTACTAATCCATACAACTGCCGTCCAAGCCTTCGCTATCCACCCCGCCGGATGTGCTCACACAAAGCCACCAACACTTGCGTTATGCAGGGCATTCTGGTCGGCGTTTGAAACATCCTCACAACATACATGTGCACGGTCTCGGTGGCCACATGGTCAGCCGCATGCAGCCGCGTCGCGCGTGCCAGCTCGGTAAAGAAGGGCATGGTTGCATAGACCCCGTCTTCTGGAAGGAAATTCTATTACGTTCTAGGGTTATACTGCATTGAGTGCCATGGGGCAGTGAGAGTACCTGCATGGCTTGCAGGAGCGGAACGACGGTGTGGTTCATGTGGAGATGCGAGTATTGAATGATATTGGCCGCATGGGGTGTGAAAAGGAGGTGAAGAATAATGGGGATTTCAAGATTTGGAACCGACTTCGATGCAGGATGATGCTATTCTTGCGATTTCTTTGCTAATGTCTATGTTTGGAGTCAGTATTGCGTCTCCTTATATTCTAGCCAAAGCAATCTTGACCTCCAAAGTCGCTGCGACCGATAGTCTGGACATGTATGTTCTTCTCCACAATACTCGGGACACTGTGTAAGGTGAAGCGCAAGCAACCTCCCTGCTGTCCCCGCCCCATGATCTACTCCTTCGAGAATCCACACAGTAATCTACACTTCTTCTCGCCAATCTTCATCATACCACTAGCTCTTTCCCCGAAAAAGCTTCTTGCCAGCCTCACAGTCCTTTCTCGAAGATCTCCACGGCAAACCGGCTTGTGGGGCGGACGGGAGGTCCACGCTAGCAACAGGGACCGACCCAGGGGCACGCATGTCATCTGACTCGCACCCTTCCATCCCAAGCCTTGCATCGTCAAGGCCCTTGGTAGCGTTGCATTCCTGGTTTTCTAGTGCCTCCATCCAAATGAGGCTCAACGTGCAAATGAAATGTGGGGTTCATTCAGGGTACCATAGCTTCCTGCTCTTCCCAGTGCCACTGCTCCACCAGCTGCCTGACCCTGTAGTCGTTGCCCAGCCAATGTCGGCCTCAACGTCGCGCAGCAGGTTGAGCACGACTAGGCGCGAACGTCGCTGAGACACTGACCTGCTGTAAACAAGGGCTGCACGGAATGAATGCGGACGGCCTCGTCTGAGCGGGCGAGCGAGATGCCCACGATTTCGCGGCTGTGCTTTTGGCACGCGGCGAGGACGGAATAATAGGAATTGAGGCGTGCGCAGACGGTGCTGCGGCCTTGGGTGGATTCGTGAGGCTTGTTCATGTAGAGCAAAATCTGGCTCATGTGGTATGTTTGCATGGTGGATGCGCACATGGGGATGCTGTACCATACTTCGGTGAACATGGACTCGTTATCGCCATTGAGGAGGCGTCCTAGGATTCGTGAGGGCGGGACTCGTGCTGAGGGCTGGAACGTGATGGGCAGGCCGTCGTGCCAGGCTTCGAATTGCTTGCGGAGACTGAACCAATAGTCAAGTAAGGTGCGTTGCGGGACACCTACACAGGAGATACCCATGGAGTCGGTGCTGAGCTCGTCGCCGGCGGCCATGAAGTTTACTAGCTTGGCCATGAGCCACACGAGAGCGTTGCAAATAAGATCTTCCCGCATTATGCTCTCGCCATCGTCCGGATAACCGCTTTCGGTAGTGTTGCTGGGGAGGATGAAGCCTTGCTCATCGAGAAGAAGGCCTGCCTCTTTCCAGAGTGAGAAGTCCTCTGTGTCAAGCCTCGTGTGGGTCTTGTTAATGACTAGAGTGGTGTCAGTGATGTTTTGATATAGCATGCGTAAGAAGCTTACAGGCTGCAAGCATGTCTTGCCTGGCAATGTTCCAGAAAATGGCTCTGCGAGCTTTGGAAATGAAGTTGTAGTGAGCGGTTGACATTGTCGAGCTTGGTGTCGGCATTTGCAAGGGCATCATACGCTCTTGAGCAAGGACAAGAAGGGACTTAGCACCGTTCAAGTGCTTAGCCCACTCTGAGACAGAAGTGTCCAAGAACTCATAGACACATAGAATAGCCGAAGCTGCCAGCAGCTCATCCGCATTTGACACGAAAGTGGCATTGCTAGAAGTCTGGCGCCGCTTAGGAGCCTGAACGTCATAGCCGTAAGCAATGTCGACAATGTGTTGCCTGAGCTCACAATCCGAGTCATCTGGCGTGGTGCTGGCGTTGTTCTTCAGCGCCTGAAGCAAGAGTGACACGGCATTATCGTAGAACACCGCTGCCTTGTGCTTCCAATCAACTAGCGATGCGTCAGGATACAGTTCCATCCGAGCTCGACGCGTCACACTACCTCCCATGACGGGCTTGCCTTCTTGGACACGTGCGAGAGCTTTAGCCGCACAAGCCACTGCTGCGTACTTGAGCAACTGGTTCTCACGTGCTTTGACTGGTACATACGAAGCGAAGTATGTTCCCAGGTCAAAGAAGTCCATCCAGTAACCTGGACCCTCCGAGAACCATCGTAGCAGAAAAGCGATCTCATGATCCTTCTCAATTAATGATTCGCCGGCATCTAATCGAGAGGACGATCGGCGTGAGCTGGCAATCGAGCTTGTTCGAGGCATACAGTCTGCAGATGGGTCGTATGGAGAGTTGGGTTGAGGGTCAATTGGAGGTGGTGTTGCTGAACAATCCATAATGGGATGTACGCGGCGATTGCAAAGTGATACAGGTGGTGAGATGGGTGTACCAACGGCTGATGTTGGAGCTGATTGCATCAAAGGTGGTAACGTTTCAAGCTCCGGTGTGTAGCATATGGGTACGCTTGTTGGACCATAGCCCAGTTCCATACTAGATGGAGTGCTTGGATGTGAATGGAAGTTGCTGGATGTACGACATGTTGGAAGTGGCCGAGGCTCAAAGGGAGCTGGTGATTCCATGGAGCTAGCTGACATGGAACCAAAGTCAGGTGTGCACAGATCCAAATATGGGTTCGTGGTGTTTATGAATGTTACTTGGAAGAGTGAGTAAAGGCCGATAATTCGCTCTGAGCACGAGCATACCATTCTTAGGAATGTCCATCCAGATGGTATCCTCATCGAAGGTGTTTTTGTATGCGTAAAAGCCCTTCAGCGAGTTCTCGTCTCCTGAATCGTCGCCGTTCATTGAGGGATTGTGCTGGTGACGAAACACGGTTCCCGAACTGGGCACGCATTTTCTCGAAGCTTTGGTGCATTGTGAGCAAATTGGCTTCTTCTCGTCACATTTCAGCTTTCGCTGCCGGCAAGTGAGACTGCAGTAGGTATTAGAAGATTCTTGAAGCGAAGGAAGAGCTCCACTTGCCATCCGGTTCGTGAACGCATCTCGAAGTGGCTCGACGTACGTGGGTCTATCTGGGGAGTTCGAGTGCAAATGAACTCGTGACGAAACGTTGTGGGTATACGGCAATCCACCTGAGTCGGAGAGCGCTATGCTATATCTATATCAGAATGACGGTAATTAGGTGTTAAAAGCGTTCAATACTGCTGGTCGGATGCGGGGTCTAGCATGATTCGCGCAGTGCGGATCCACCGTCACAATCTAAGCAGGGCCTGTGAGAATTGGCGAAAGGCTTTTTCCTTGCTTTAGCTTGCGTCAAGCTGAATCGCAATCGCATTGCTCGATCTGGAGCTGGGGTAGAATCACTAACTAGACTTCGGTGTAGACAGGCAGCTGTAAATGGTGTGGGACCGTGCAGCCGGATTCGCGTCTAGCGCCGCAATAAGTGCTGGATGCCGACTCATGGCCGAGTTGCAGATGCACATCACTTGCAGCGACCGCTTCCTCGCCACATGGAGCAGCTTTGGCCACCTCGTCGGAGACAGGCCTTTTAGAACAATGATAGCTACGAAACTATAACGCATGGACGATAGCGTCACAAACGTGCAAGGAAGAGGCTCCGGAGGTCCGAAGCGCGAACCTGGTCCCGCAACGCTGGGTGTCCCGCAACGCTGGGACGGGCGTTAGGTGTGGAATGCGGTGACAGGTCTTGAGGTTGATGCGATCACGATCCGATGGAATACCTCCTTCAAATCGCATCAGACGTACCATTTGCTGCCATGCAGTCAGTGTCGGATTTCCTCAATGATCTCCGGAGGAGGCCATTCCCAGCAAGGGATCACCATGTTGATTGGTCGGTACCGTGCCCGTGCGCGTGATGCGCTTGTTCGGGTGATGCGCCCAACCACCAACATGTGCACTTTACAAAAATGAGGCTCTACAGCCACCAACGATAGTTATTATCGCGAGATTTCTTAGTTCATTGATATAGAGATGTATGCGAAACTTTCTACTTGCTCAGAATATTTCTTAGGTGGTCGTACTAAGCGTGTGCGGGTGGACTTAGTTGGAGGAGACGCTGGCGGAGGAGCAGCTTCAGCCCGACTTGCAGCACCTACAACTCGACGACGCTTTGTTGGTATTTTATCAGCACTGTGTGAGGCTTTTCGCTTAGCCTTGTTGGCTGTATCGTGAAATTTTTGTGAGGTTGCAGCTTCGCGTTGCTGTTGTTTGAGCACTCGAGCTGCAGCTAGTTCAACAGCCCGCGCTTTCTTCGCCTTGCGCCTCTCCTCAGCGGCATGTTGACGAGCCACCTTTGCAGCCTCAGCTTGCTGCTTCTTGTACCTTGTTGCCGCCGCTTTCAGCTCTCTATCGTGAGTTTTCTGGAGTCGCAGTTGCTCGGCCTCGTCTTGTTTCACGACCTCGCGCGCGCGCGCTTCGCGGAGCTTCCTTGGAGACCAGAAAACTCCAGCGCCGTAGTACTCCTCGCGCTGCTGAAGGTCTAGAGTATTGCGTCTCTTCTTGTGCTTCTTTCTAGTGTTGAGAGCCTCTTGTAAACCTAAGTTTTCCTCGCGAAGCAGCTTGTTCTTGACCTGTAGCGTCTCTACGCGCCTCAGCAGCTCTTTGGTGCGTTCTTTAGCACCGTCCGCGACTGAAGTTTCACATAAACTCACCAGCTGCCGCGGTATATCGCTGCCGCTGCTGTCTCTAAGTTCTGAGTCGCGATCTTGTCGCGAAGTGCGGTTGTTGAAGAGCTTTAGTATAGGCTCCGCGTCCATCGGCCACACGCCTGTAGCTTGAAAACTCTTCCTTGTCGTCTCCGGGTTCATCCTAGAGCTCCATGCCGCCCAGAAGTTTGTAAAGAAACCTCGTTTCGCGCCTATCGCGTGTCCTTGCGATCGGTGGAGCTTGCGGTTGAGCTCTGTGGTGTAGTACCTCGCGAGCGGCGAGAACAGCACCACGTCGAGCGGTTGAAGGCAGTGGGTTAAATGCGGGGGAAAGATGGCAAGTAGGACTCGATTGGCGTCGCAAAAGTCGATAAAATCGGCGGTGATGTGGCTGCCGTGGCTGTCGAGGATCAGAAGTCGCCATCCTCGTCTTGCTTTCGCTCTCGTATGGCGATCGAACACCTGTTCGAGCCAGGCAAGCCCGAGATCATTGTTCGACCAGCCTGTGGGCGAGTTAGAGAAGAAAACCTGATGTTTGCCGACCTCTACGTCGTTAACCCAGCTCGATTGAATCCCGGATAAGCCCTGGTAAACAAGAGCGGGCGGCAGTGCCTCTCCAGAAGCGCATACGCAAGCAATAAGCGTTACCCATTCTCTGTTGCCATCCTTGATCGCCTCAGTACTCTCTTTTGACTGCCAAACTGTCTTACTAAAGACTCGTTTCGAGCGTGAGGCGATGCCGACGAAGAAGCCCTTCTCATCCATATTGTACGTGTTGCGCTCGTCAAGCTCGTACTCGCGCATCTTGGAGTGCAGTAGATTGAAGTATGCCTCGTATTTTACTCTACTGTCGGCGTTAAAGCGCTTACGATCGATACCGGCGCTCTATTTAGTAGTAAGCTGGCCAGCGTGGCGGTTCAGAAACCGAGTAACCCAGCTTTCTGAAGCCTCCCACTTCGCGATCGCGCTGGCGAAATTTGCTACCATCTCTCGCGTCGGTGGCAAGCCTCGTCTTGTGCATTTTTCTATGTATCGTACTAGTTCTAACTCCTGTTGTGGGTTGAGTAACAGTCGCTCGCGCTGCTCCTCTTCACGCGGGCGCTGAAGACCTTGGTGTCGCCGCGACAGCGTCGTTCGGTCAACTCCAGTTTTTTTCGCAACTTCACGGTACGAGATTTCATCTCCTGGTTCACGCGATTCGGTTTCTTGAATCGCTTCTTGAATCGGGTCCATGGTGGTGGGGTTATGATGCGTTGAAGTTGGGACGATTATATTGTTATGATGTTCCGGGTGGCTCGTCGGCCGAACTGGCTCGTTGAGTGCACGGGCACGGTAGTATGTAAGCCTCGTGCAACCTCCTTGACCTCGCCGCGTATAGTTGACAGGACCATTCCGATGTGACGTCCAAAGGATTGCTGAACATGGCGCTTGCAGCCATGGAAAGCAACGTGCGACTGTAGCGACAAGCGCGCTAGGGGATATCCGGTGCATTATAAACGTGAAATGACCACGGAGGGTGCTAGACTACGCGCAGGAGAGCGACAGGTGAGGCCGTGATTATTGGGCGGCAAAGCAAGCGGTGGGATACAAATTGGCTGGTATAGGAGGATCAGAGACTGGCGAAGAGGTACATAGAGGGCGAGGACGGGATAAGATGGTGTAGGGTTGGGGTGTTGGACGAGTTTTTAGACGGACGGAGGAACCGGGTGGGCTGCGAAGAGGGGGAAAAGGCGAGAGACGTTTGCCGTGGGGCCACCAAGATATCAGAAACTAACACGAACAAAACTCAAGGCAAGACGTTGGTAATAATCATGAATTGATAGTCGTTTAGCCCGGTACCGCATCCAACCTCTCCTGTATCTTCTTCATGAAATCATCTTTTGCCCACTTCAAGATTCGAGCCAGGCAATACACCAGCTCCCGCACATCGCGTTGATGTGTCGTGCGCCACGTCCTGATATTCTGCATATGGGTCGCCTCCCCAAGTCTGAAATGCACCCACAACTCATGTACTGGACCCTCGGTCGTGATGGAAAAACATAGTCGGGGGGTAGCTGGAGATGTAGGTGTCGTGGGCAGTGCAGCCTGATTCTCGAGATCATCCAGTATTTTTAGCATACAAGCGGCACCAATAGCAGCTTGATTCTGCGCAGCCACTAGACCCCCATTCAGGCTCAACCCCTTCGTCTCTGCAATTAAGAAGGGAAAACGCAAGCCCATGGCAGCCATATGCGGGTCGCTCAGTATCGATCCAAAGCTTTGGTGTTTGGCCAGCCGAACTCGATGCATTGGCGCAAAAGCCCTGTCTTCAAGCCCTACCACGATGTCTGGCTTTGGTGTTGAAATGTAGAATGGGTCGGCAGCTTCGGTGCTGGTCGTATAAGCGATGGAAGGTGTGTATGGTCGCAGCGAAGGCACCGGCCCTAGAAACCCGGAAGCTGATTGTGGATCGAAGTCGGGGAGCGCGGATTGTGGTTGTGGAAAGCGCGGTGTTGACGCGCCGCTTTCATCGTCAGGTTGGGCCACGCCAGGCGGCGAGGGCTTGAGGTCGGCGTTCCAAACTGGAGGGAGTATCAGCATCTCAGAACAGTGCTCCAGACACGGTGGGCGAACTCACGCTTCTCTGATGTATGGCATTGGACGTTGCCTTGCACTAAGTCACCCATGAGACTGAACAAACTGGCTTTCCAGTCCCCTTCGAGCGAACAACTTCTTGCGTTATGACGCGATTGGTCCAGGAACCTTTTCACATGGGTCGCCAGCTGCGACTCGTGTTCCGTTGTACCAATCACATCCTCCAAAGACTCAGCTTCCAGTATATGCCGCACTCCGCGTTCGATCTCCTGCGGGAGTTCAATCAGGTCGTCAATGAGGACTCCAGCGTAAGACATGTTCTGTGTACGGTACGTTTGCGGCGACGGTCGCTTGCTAGGACTGGGCGTTCGAGATGCACGTGCAGAATGCTTAGAGGGGCGTCTCCCACGGCTGGACGACACAGATGCGCTTCGTGGTGTTGGTGGTGCGGCCATCATGTCAGGATCACTGTCAGCCGGGCAGGTCTTGAGCCAGTGCTGTATTGACGGTGCGCACTCGTCTGACACGGGCTGCTGTGTATTCTTGAGCGCTTCCTCGGTGTGTGCGAATGACTGTAAGGACGCATGCGACAGCTGTGACGTTGAGTTTGATGATTTCGATGGGTTCGAAAGGGGCGGAGATGTGCGGCGTGTCTCGGGGTTGACATGTCGCGTTTTGCGACGCTTCGAAATGCGGCCGGGACATCGTGATTGTTGCACAGCGTCGACATTGGAGACTGAGCGCTTCATGGTTAGAAATATGTTACGAAAGGCTAGAGGCTTATTAGGTTGTGTAAGCGCGCCGTTAAGGGTAGCAACTCGTGGTGTTATGAATGTTTCGACGATCATAACAACCGGGACAATCTCGGGCATTAGAGGTTGGTACGGGGGCGGTGTAACCGGGCATATCGGGGTCACGCGCGAGAAGCTTGGCTCTCGCGAACTCTCACGAACCCTTGATAATTAACGTTACTCTGTAGACGCTACAGACTTTGCAAGGAAGTGGCGCGGCGCAGAATTCACGCGAATTACGTTTGCTAGAATATAAAGTATTTTAAGAATTGAATCAACCAATCAATTCGATTGCATGTACCGCTCGACGTGGCGAACTTTTCATGTTATGCTATAACCTGTTTCACCAGCGAGCGGCCCACCCCACCGAGCGGCCCACGAACACCAGCGAAGCGTTCGCGCAGCGACGTAGCTTAGCACCACAACACAATTTTTATACTATTGCAACAGTATAGTATTATTCAGAAGCGTCGCTATCATTCGCATCCTCAATTTCTACCTTGCACGTACGAGAGTTATGCCCAATCTTGCCGCAACGGCCGCAGCGTCGCCCTGCGCACCCTCTTCGCCGGCTCCTCACCCTCCTCACGACTGCCACCCTCCTTTTCAGCAATTAAGTCTAATACCTCGCCAACTGTCAGTGCCTCCTCTGCCCGTACGTAGCGTCTCTTGCGACTCTTACGCTTGGTAAGCGTCTCTGTTGCGTCTCGAAGGCGCCCCATCTCTGCGCGCATCAACACCATCTCATGAGCTATCTGCTGCGCGCCTTTTGTTAGCTGTCGCACCTGCTCGTCAAGTGAACTTGCTAGAGACCCTCGATGGATTTGCATTTTGTTTCGAATCAGCGTTAATTGCGCCTCCATTTCTTTGGCGTTGCGCGGTGTTTTCGCCTCCTAAGCGGCGTCATCTTGCTGTGGTGGAGTTTGCGTACGCAGCTGCACATCTAGCTTTGATAACACGGCTTGTGGATCATGTGGACACAATCCAGCGCCTCGAAACCCTGCGCAAGCATTCTCTCTTGTAAATGCCTTCTTAAAAGCTACTTTAAAGGCTGGTAAGAAGGTCTGTTTGTTGATGTGGTGGATGCGATCGCGTGCCAAGGCTGAGATCTCATCGCCGTACGCGCGCTTCAACGGCGAGAAGCAGGCAACGTCAAGCGGCTGCAGGAGGTGCGACGAATGTGGAGGCATACAGAGGGCGATAATCTTCTTCTCCTTGCAGCGATCCTGAAAATCTATTGAGCAATGGCTCTCGTAGCCGTCAATAATAAGCAGCCTGTACGCTCCTACAGGCCTCGCATGCGTATCAAAGTGTTCAAGCCAAGCAAGCGCTAGATCGTTGTTTGTCCAGCCTGTTAGGCTTACTTAAATAACCCAGTTGCGTGGGAGGTCCTCAGTAAACCAGTTAGAGATAAGAACCTTGCCGGCGAAGATGAGGAAGGGTGGGATAACGCGCCCTATTGCGCTGACGCCCTGTATCAACGTAGTCCACTCGCGATCACCAGGCTAAAGCTTCTTTGCTTTCCCAGGCTTGTCCATGCCTGTCACTACGAGTTGCGACGATATCTTGCCCATCAGGAAGCCAGACTCGTCAAAGTTGTACATATCGTCGTCTATAATGCCGTACTTCGCCTTCATGTTCTGAACCAGCATGAACCAGGGCTCAATGATTGCTGGGTCCTCGCAGAGAGCTCGCTGGCGATCGTATGGACGGCTCCAGCGCGTGCGCAGCTCAGGTGTACGCTGGATAAACCTGTCAACCCAGTTCTTGCCAACAGACTTAACGCCGCGATCGCGCAGCAATCTATCAGCCATATCTCGTACGTGTAGCTTCGAGGGCGGTACTCCACGCAGATTCTCATCAAGTATACGTTGTACAATCACCTCCTCTTCTAGCTTCGTCAGGCTCTTTAAGTTTGGCTCGCAGTCGCGTCTAGAGGGCTTCCCGTCGCGTCGCCGTCGTATCGTTGTCTTTGGGACTTTGTAGACTGCCTCCGCACGTCGCAGGCTTGGAATTTAGTTACGTTTAACGTCTAAGAGGGCAAGCTGCACATCAGCTTCAGTATAAGCCTTGAGAGGTTGTAGTTGTTGAGACATTACGTGTTGTTGCTAGGTACGCGTGTTGGTGGGGGAACTGGGCCGCTCGGTGGGGTGGGCCGCTCGCTGGTGAAACAGGTTACACACCGTTGATAATGACTTTCCAGCATCTTAGAAGGATACTAAGGCCCGGATTAAGCGCGTTTATAAGTTTCAGAAGTGATAAGAGACCGATGTTGGTGTTGTGGTGAGGAAGCTTTTTGGTATTGTGCAGCTGCACTCTACTGTACTCTGCTGAAAGCAGGTGATAATTGTAAGGGGCTACGCCTAAGTACCGCAAGAGGCTACGCCAAAGAACTTCCCCACTTGTCTATCTTAGTAATAGCGTACGGAGGATAAATACCGTACGAGGAGGACACTACTCTTCTTTTCTTCATCCTTCTTCTTCTGTACATAGGAGCAAATGCATACTCGTTAGCAGGCCTCTTTCCGCCCATAACAGTGTCGATCCTAGCGACTGCTTCTCGCAAAGCGTCGCTGTAGACTTACTATCTCGCGATAGATAGCCTAGCTGTTATCTAAAAGCCTTTTAAGCGATAGAACAACACTAATCCCGTGCGGCGGGTTAACCTACTCGCACGTAATAGAATAGCGGTCAAGGAGCTTTGACGCGCGACACGTTGACAGAGTCTTAAGATAAAGCTCTATTAATTAGGATCGAATACAAAATGTAAGGGGCTAGCTCTAGGAGCACCTAAGGAGTTAATAGCCGATGGCAAGGCTAGGTGTACAGTGATTGTATTCGATGAGGAGCTATCGGTCTATCTATGCTGGTGTTTATCTACCTGTCGGATAAACGTCGGTCCGAGGTGATCTGAGCGTCCATCGGACGCGTCCACCGAGATTCCATCGAGGAGCTCTACCGAAGGGCGTTCAGCCCGTTACATATACAACGGGACGTTCTAAAATTCAAGCTAGCTCTGCCTCAATAACACTTTCTACAGAGTGAGGTGGCCTCCAGATGTTAAGCACCTTTAATCCCGCACTCTCCACCAGCGCCCGCCACTCAGCCTCCGTCCTCTCCTTCGCACCAAGGCACGCCATCATGGTGATATCGGACGTTGTCACACGAGCGAGCGGCTTCACAGAGCTAACCAAGCTTTCGTGAATGAGAAGCTTCGAGTATCCGGGTTCCATAGCTTCGGCAAGGTGAGAAAGGATCTGCTTCGCCTGTGTGTCTTCCCAGTCGTGCAGCACGTTGTGCATGAAGTAGACACGGGCACCTTTCACGGGCTGTGGTTCAAAAAAGTCATGAGGGTGGATGGAGATGGTGTCGTCAATAGTCAACTCCTTGAGAATATCGGGCAGGTCTTGGAGCACCAGACTGCCCTCAGGGATATCAGGGTGGCGCAGATGGAATTTGGTCAGGTCGTGGCCCTTGCTACCACCGACATCGACCACAAGGGGCCGGTCAGGCTTGGACTCTTTCACAAGAGTCTCAGTTGGGTAAACATCAACCCAGGGCGTCAAGTTATGCTTGGAGTGACTCTCCATGGCATCATTGAATTCCCTTGCGGCGGCAGGGTTCACGCTAAGGGACTGGAACAGATTTTCATTTGAGCCTCTCATGAACTGCCAGTTGCAGTCGTTGGGGTTAGTAGGGACCTTGTATCCCGTCTTCTTGAGGTAGGCTGGCAAAGTCCTGAACATGGGGGAATTGACGAAGCCATAAAATTCACCATAGACGTTGGCGAGGGCCTGATCCTCAGCGAGAGCGCGTACCCACGGTGTAGGCTTATAGGTGTCCTCGGCGGTCTCGATGGCAAGATTCTGCCCAGAAATTTGCCGAATCATGCGTCCTGCATTGCCGTCAGAATGTTCATCATGAGTTAAGCAGAGCAGATATGTAACCTACGAATAAGCACTACATCGGCACCCGTTAACTCGGCCAGTTCCGCGCAAGTCTTCTCTCCGCCTCCGGTCTCGATCCATTTGCTGAAGACACCCGCGTCAATCAACGTCTTGACGCATGCATTGGTGGCCGGGTTGACCCAACAGTGCTGCCAAACAATGTCCCACGGCTTATGTACTTTGCTTAAGGCCAGGGTCAGCGCGTCCATGGCACGGACGCGCTCTGCTTCGTTAACGAAGGAGTTCGCGTCGAGGCCCTCCAGGGCTCCGATAAGTTGGTCTGCTGATGCCATGTTGGAAATGGGAATTAACTTTTGGGGAAAGATGCAGGAACAACGGAAACGACACGCGGTCTACTATTTGACAAAGGGAAATGTTCTTATCTACCGGTTGACTAGAGGGTTTCAAATACTATAGTAGTTAGTAAATTTCTTGTAACAGATAAGCGCGTACTAAGATCCATTTTTCTTATATGTACTTTTCCTAATACGTAATTTGTCCTCAACGACCCTATGTAACCGGTATGGCCAAACTTCTACGGTATCATTTGGTCACGCGGCTACTCGATAGAGTAATTAGTCCCGGATTACATTGAACAAGCCACACGATTTAATGCCATGCGGGTTGAATTGGTTAGCACTGATCAGTTGAGGACACGGTATCCGAAATTTGAGTGAGCAAGGATGTCTCAGGGGCAGACCCACCTGTTGGGCCACTCACGTACTTCTCACGCCACTTTTGGCATGTCGTGCTTGGCATGCAGCCCCTCGGACTCGTGCGAGCGACCTTGACAGGACCTACCGGTTGGTACCTATTGTAGCAGTTGAACTTTGGTGTTGCTGAATAGTCTGTATTGAGGACTCGAAATAACGTTTTCACTAAGGGAAAGTGAGACTTTCTGTGGGAATATGAAATTCAATGTTGCTTTTGGTTCCCGCTCAAGTCGCCCTCTTTCACAGTTCCTCACCTTAATAACATTACCTCAACAACATCATTTCAACAACACCAAAG